AAAGAATCATCAAAAATTATTATAAATTCACATTTGTTACATTTATCAATTATATTTATAATATTAGTTGTGATTAATAGTTTGGGTGCAACTAAATTACAACGAGTCCATGCTCAATTTTTTCAATTTACCTACATTTTCGTATTTATCAGCCCATAAAAAATTGGGTATGTTCCAAAATAGAACCCAGTGTACTGTCCAATGCAAATGACGTCATGAATCGACGCTATACTGGTGGTTCGTTCCAAAACATAGGACAGTATATGACGTCATACATTTGCGACATATTGGAAAAGTGTTGGCGATTATATTGTCATTTTGTGTCTCCAAAAATCATTATATCCTCCTAATGGAGATAACAATTATTCTATATATTTTTTTGTATTTGAATAAATAAAAACAAATTCTGGCATGCTTCATTCAGCGCACACATAATTAAAAATTGTTTTATTATGGCCGGATATCCGACGCAATATGGCGACGGCACGCCACTACAATATAGTGTAAATTGATGACGTCATTAGTATTCGGCAGTAACGTTTCAGAATATACCCGTTGACTGCTGGATGCACGCATATGCGCCTTAAGGCTCGCCACATACATACGGATTGTATGTTTCGGGATTCCGAACGCAGCAAGTCCATATAAAATCAACGACTCGTCACACACCTACGGTAGTTTTCCGTTCTAAATTTTGCGGGCAAAACGGGATTTCGTATGTGTGTGGCCGACCCGTTCGCTCCATTTCGGAATTCCAAAACAGAATTCCGTATGTAGTGTGTGACGGGTCTAAACCATGTTGGTAAGAAATGAACTTAGATGCATATGTGTACGTGAGTAATGGCTAAATACTCAAACGCTACTCAATTTTAAGATGTCGTTAAGGTCCGCCACACACTATACGGAATCCCGTTTTGTCCCGAACGGAAAATTACCGTACGTGTGTGGCGGGTCCTTGAATTTATATGGACTTGCTGCGTTCAGAATCCCGAATTGGAATTCCGGCATTAGTCACGTGATGTTACAGTCACTTTGACTTAATGATGGACATTACGAGACATCGGTATCGGTATATACGGTATCTTAAACTGGAGCAATGTTTGAGTACTTTGGACCTTATTATAATTTACAATAAGTGGAGTATGGTTTTAGTTTTGTTTTTGCATTATTTGAAATGTATTCAGCGCTCTGTTTTTCTTACTTTGTTGGTCTAAGATTCCTCTAAGGTAGTTGTTTTATAAAGGGAACATACTATTTATTTATATGATATAAGTTATAACGCACGCAAGTCATTTTAAAATCTAGTAATACTATAAATTAGTACTTAAATTTGACTGCTATTTTTAGAACCTTGTCTAGTACTTTCAAGTGAAGAATTTTTTTCTTCCTAAGTAATTTTTTACCTTTTTGTAATAAAACAATCTTTACACGTCTTTATTAGGATATAAATATATATTCTTATAAAAATCATTAAAATAATATATTTGGATATAAAACATTACAACTCTTAAGTATTAGTAAAATGATTTTAATAATGTAATAAATATTGAACTGTATTATGTACTTAATAACAAGAGAATTTTACTCTGTAGTAATAACACTATATTAAATGTAGTGAAAATTTTTATATTGTCGTCACTAAGCGCCATTAAAAACATACCACATAAATAAGAAGTGTTTTATTTACTCAATTATTTTTTACACGACAAAATAAATTTCGCAATACTGTGAATTATCTGATAAATTTGTCTTACGAAATTAGTTGGTAAAAACGAAAGAAAAGAAATATTAGTAGTATGTATATGCCATTGAAGTATAATGTACTACTCTACGTACAACTTAGTATCCTCACATATTACTTCAGTGCCAGGTCCAGTTCCAGCCAGTGGCTTAACTTTACCGTTAGAGCTCGTAGCAAATTCATCTGATGGAGCCCTCTCCCACTCAATAAAAAAAACCTTTATACCTATAAAACCGATATATAATTTAAAAAAAAACCGTCGAAGTTGCATTTACCTAGACGGACTATTTGCCCCAGGTAAACTCGTCAACAACTTCGACCTTAGTGCTCCCAACAACTATCGGCATAGGTGTAACATGGATGTTGTATATATGATCTTTGTTTTGTTCCTGTTCATTTTAAGACCTATCCGTTGGGAGTCACTACTGAGGTAATTGTGCATAGTGCTTAGGTCCACCAGCGATCCTGTCATAAGGACTATATCGTCGGCAAATCGAAAATGAGTGATGTACTCGTCATTTATGTTAATAACGTATCCTTTCCAGTCCAGTAGCTTAAAAACGTCTTCCAATGCAGCAGTGAAGAGTTTCGGGAATATAATGTCACATTGGCTTACACCTCTCTGCAGTTGGATGGGTTGGTAATTTGCCTCTACTCGGATTGCCATCGGAGCCCTACTATACAAAACCTTCAGCACTTCTATATACCGACAGTCAACTTGGCACCGCTGAAGGGACTATAGCACCATAAAAAATTTCGAAGGCTTCAAAGGTTGTCTCATGGTCCACATACCCAAGGTAAAGTGGTAGATTGTAATCTACGGTCTTTTGTACAATTTGCCGAAGCGTATATGTAGTATGCATGCGTATTATGACCACATGTCTATGGTATTAAAGCCTTTTCGGAAATCGGCTTATTCGGGAGGCTGGAAGTCGTCGAGTCTGCGTGCGAGACGATTTGTAATGACTTGCAAACAGCACGTAGATGGGGCTCAGAAGGGAAATCGGTCTGTAGTTCTTCAAGAGATCGTTGTCATCTTTCTTGAAGAACAAGAACACCGCACTTGTGCTCCACGTCTCCGACGTAATGCCGTCATGGAGAATGGAATAAAAGAGCCTCTGAAGGACTTCAAGTCCACCTGCTTTCAGAAGCTCCGTTGTAATTACATCTTCGTCCGGGGCTTTGCCGTTTCAAGATGCTGGAGAGCCAATTTAATCTCGCTCAGACTGACGTCCGGGATATCATCGGAGTAGTGTCGGACACAGACAAGTGAAATATTTTATTCACCTTAAATTGTTTCTAACGAAAAATTTGTAAGCTTTTGTTATATTATTTTAGTGGTTATAAAAGTCAAACTCTACAATAATGGTTATGGTGGTTATATTTTAGTGGTTATATTGATTAATACTTATTACTACTTATTTTAAATATCTATAAATTGCAATCATTGATTTTAACTTTTACTACTGACGATCCTCATCATTGTCAACATTACAGCCCTTCACAAGTCCACTGCTGAACATAGGCATCCCCCAAGGAATGCCACATATCACGATCCAGAGCCATCGGTACCCATCGACTTCCTGCTTGTCTTACCAGGTTCTCAATCCATATAGAGGGCGGCCGCCCACACTCCTTAATAAATATCGAAATATATAAATTCACCACACCTAATGTTAAACAGGTGAATGGCAGTGTGCTTTTAAATGCGGAGGAGCTGATTGTCGAAGCCACTGTTTTTCTCGGAACATACAATTGACGCCAAGCTTCAATGGGGCCCTTCATATATTTAAACTAGCTAGTATACTTAGTTCTGCAGCATATGCTTACATGTGTTGAAACAGCTAGATTGTTTTTTTTTAGTTATTTTGGAATCTTGCTATGGTGCAATGCGACTGACATTGAGACTATCTTTGTTTTGCAGAAGAGAACTATAAAAGCAATTCATACCTAACTTAGGTCCGAAGAAATCCCTATGAGAAAAATTCAAGGGAATTAATATAACTTGGGCCTCTCAGTATATTTACGAAAATTTAATGTGCGTACATAAAAACAAAAATATAATTATTAAAAATAGTACAACTTAGTTATACCCATGCTACGTAGTACCTACTGTTATTTATTCTGTGCCCGTGCGATAAACGTGCCATTAAAGTGGCAAGCATTTTATTAACTATAGGATACGTTCTAAAAAATACTGGATGATATCTTTTCCAACAAAGGAGAACCCATCTCACATAGGAAAACAGTTGAAAAAGTGTCCATCTGTAAGCAGTAAATAAAAAACTCCACAACAGCACTGGAGTAGCTAGAGGGTATGAATTGAACTGAGCAGAATTGTCGACGGAGTGAAGAGTGCTGAGTTGAGGAATTTAATATTTTTTGGTGACTAGAGTAGTTGATGAAACTGCAGTATGTAAAACTCAACTACTCACGTTGTCTAAAATAATTTAGTAAAATAACCTAGAAAAAATCGCCGTGACACACGTTGAGAGTGATTTTAAAAATAAAAAATTTGAAAACAATAAAATAATCATTCTAAAAAAATATGGTGAACGTCTGTGCAATAAAAAGTTCTTCCACCCTTATTTAATGCTTTCCTACGGGCACTTTTTAATACAGAGACGATTCGCCTTACTTCTACATAACTCTACACTCCATGCAACAAATGCGTTGAAATTTTAATACATTTTTTTTTGTATAATTGTGTAACGGCCTTCACGCTAGGGGGTAGGGGCCCGTGGCATTTTGCCGGCCTGCCACCCTATTATTACACCGCTGGTTCCAGTTATCAAAGGAATTTTGTTGGACTATTGCGAAAGTATAATTGTTACTCAGTCAAATAACTTTGGAGGATTAATATAGCTACAGTTGAATTAAATACCACCTTGTTTTTGATGTCCTTTAAAAAGAGATTCACAAAATACAACATGGCACACACTTTAAAATTTACATAGATATAGAATCGATAAGAATTTTTACATAAGTTACCTAATGTTATAATTTCGCATGCGCATTAGAACTCTCATCAGCTGATTTTACTCCACCCTTAGTAGCCGTAAACTATTGCAAAATACATTGTTTATTTTAGTATGTTGTATGGTTGTAACATTTAATATTTTAAATTAAATTATAACAGAATATTATTGTGATTCCTATATAATTAAGTGTTATAAACTCGTCCTTGATCAATAAAGAACAAGGTGTAAAGTTGTGTGGCGTATTGTTCAGTAATTATATAAATATGAAGGCGGCGGCAATGTCCGTGTGGGTTTTTATAAACCTTCTTTGTTTTGGTATGTGTGGTTATTTGTATTTGATCTGGTCACAATATTGGATGAACATTGAAAGACAGCGGCTGTTTAATAAAACACCAAGCATTCCGCAACATGGCAGTGTCCCTGAAATAAATTTTCAAGAAACTTCTTATTCTGAGAAGTATAACATTAACTCAGTGTTTGCTAATACGATGGTGAGAGAAAAAAATGACCATATAAACAGGAGGTCAATAGTTGCTATGAAAAGTAGCGGAAAACTATCTCAATCTACCGGGCAAACCCGTCCGTTTACAAATATTGTGCGCAAAAGTCATGGAAGTCCAAGATTTCCGAACATACATAAACCAATATTAGAATTTGATAGTGATAAATACGTATGTAATGACTATTTGACTTCGGAATGTGAGGCGCGGACGGCTGAATTCAAGACTCTGTTATTGAAAGAGTTTCATAGAGTCTTAATGAGCGACAGCAAAGTTTTTACATCAGGATTAAATTCACAAAACCCTTACGACGTGCACTATGAAAGAGGGCAGTGGAAGGAGCGGACAAAAAAGGACATTTTGTGCGCGTTAGGCGGTGTTTCTGTTCAAACAGTAACAGCAGAAGACGAACCATTTAAGATGTTAAATTATAACATTCCTAATGATCCCTTACAACGTCATCGAACATTCAACACCTGTGCTGTTGTAACTAGTGCAGGTTCCTTACTGGGCTCTAATTTAGGAGATTTTATAGGTAAGTATAACTCCTCTTGTTTTCAGATTTTTTTGTTTTAACTTAGATAGATCCCCATATATATCCTCATAGCCCCGTGGAAGTTGTAATAGGCCATAGAGAAAAATAAAACAGAAGATTGGCAGCAGCATCTTCCTGATAACAACTCAAAATTATTTAAAATTACTAAGTATTGTAAATATCTCCTCTATGAGGCAAAGTACGGGGGAGGCCTAGTTCAGTAACAGTCTTTTGATATGTTGTGAAATTGGTGAATGAATGAAAAAGTGAATTAGATATTAGTTACAGACAGTTATAGGCTGTATAATGCTACTTTATTTGAAGTTATTTGCAGGTGTCCACGGGGTGCGGGAAACAGCAGCACTATGTATGTATAACATTATATGAAATAAGCAGAACGACCACATATTATTTAAATCTTTTAAAGATTTGTAAATTACTTAAAAAAAACAAAAAAAATGAAGTTGTAATGGGTTAAACCAGTTTATACTAAATCTATGGGTTAACCATTTAAATTCTTAGAACCGTAAACAAATGGAAGAGAAAGGCAGACGATAACGTAGCGTCACAGGTTAAATAATATTAACTACGTAAGCAGCTTATGGCACTAAATTAGAAGAACGAGTTGATGAGATTTCCTTCATTTGTTTTGATTCATAATGTCTATAAATAACAATCATTTTGAAAGGCCTATTTGGAACATAATTTGAAAATATGTTGAACAGAAAATATCAATATTTCTAAACAGAAAAGCAGATCTATAATAGTGCCCTTGGGGTAAGAAGTTCAATTATTAAAAACTAATTTTATTAGAAAAAATGATTTTGGTAAAATTTTAAGATTTATTTCACTTTAGTTCCATTGCAAAATGATGTTAAAGTAAAAAGTATTAAAAATTGATTTTTCATCAAAACCTTAAGAGACAAAAGATAAGGAGTGTAAGAAACTTTTTGTATAAAATTATAACCTAAAAAACTTTTGTTCGCAACGTTTTTTATATTTCTTATAGTTTTATTAGATAATTTTTAGCGTTTTAAAATTTACAAAAAATGTTTTTTTTTTAATGTTTAATGATAAAACATAGCTCAAATCACTCCTGATATTGTTCTCTATCCGTCGGTGATAATGACAAAATTTGTTCAACGATTAAATTAGCCCGTACAAATAGGCACACATCATACAAAGAATTAAAAAAAAAGATTATTCATGTTTGAATCGCTTGCAAAAGACCACTTTCGCTTAACCTTCATAGAATCGAGACATTGCGATATTGCGACACACACACTCCAATTGTATTTATATGTGTACGTAGAGATAGCCTTAGTGCTCCACATTTTGCCTCGTAATCCATTTTTGTAAAGAAATATAGTTATAAGTTATAAAGTTGTTAAGTTAAAATATATTTAAATTTTAATCAAACCAGAAATTTATTTATTTACAAGCGACACGCTCTGGCTTCGCCTGGATAGTCTCTATTAATGTTTTTTTTTTAGAAAATAAGGTTGAAAAATGAGAACACAGTCCACCTGATGGTAAGTGGACGCTGTGGCCCATAGATTTGACATTTATCCTCAATTAAGAATCAAAACGCAGATGCGTTGTCAACCTTTTTTTTTTTCTTTTGCGGATGGAAAATCATCTAATGACCCCTTTCGCTCTGGGTGGAGCGTAAGGGAGTGTCAGACTTTTACTGACTAAAAACCATCCGTGTTCCTTCAGTGCCCTTACGTTCCGGAGCCGCGGTATCTCTTTCGAACAGCCCGCAGCCCCGGCAGGCGTCGGCCCTTGCGGGCCCCTTCACGCTGCTGACAGCTCTTTGAGGCGCGCGTGGAACAAAACGCGCCGTCGACACGGCCTGTCGTCATTAGACGGACGGACGACGAGCTACCCATTGCTCGCCGTCCACAGGCCCGCGCCTACGGTGGCCGGGGGCCACGACGTAGCCCCCGACGCCCGGGGCGTCTCCCGCGGCGGCCGGGGAGGAAAGCTGCTGCTCTCTCCTTCTCCCGCTCCGCCACCTCCTTCGCTAGCATCACTGCTTCGCAGAAGGTGGTGACGGCATCCCATTCCGTCTCGCTCCGGACCATGGCTTCGACCAGGGCCGGACGCGAGAGGTCGCCGCCGCCTATCGCCGCTACGAGGACACGGCGGTGCTCCGCCCAAGCAGGGCACACCTCCACGGTGTGTTCCACCGTGTCCTCCGGTCCATCCTCGCAGTGGGAGCACCCGGGCGTTTCCTCCCGCCCGATTCGGTGCAGGAACCTCCCAAACACACCGTGTCCGGTGAGGACCTGCGTCAGGCGGAAGGTGAGGATGCCGTGGCGTCTCTCAAGCCACTCCTCAAAGAGGGGTCTTATCGCCGCTATAGTGGCGTGCCCAGCACGGGGTTGCGACAGTCGCTGTCTCCATGTCGCCATGAGATCGTGCCGGAAGTCTGTCCGCTGCGCGACAACTTGCCGCGGCAGCGGGGTTTCCCCACGGCACTGTGCCTCCGCACGCCATTCGTGCAGGCGCGCGAGGACTATCGCCTCCAGATCCCATGGCGGCAATCCGGCAAGGAGGCTCGCCGCCTCGCGGGAGATCGTGCGGTAGCCGTGAACCATTTTCACGGCTATCACCCTTTGGGGCGCGTTCAGGTGGTGGACGGCAAGCCGCGCCAAACCACGCGCCCACACCGGGGCCCCGTAAAGGGCCATGGACCGCACGATCCCCGCGTAGAGCCTCCGGCAGGAGGCGTTTGGCCCTCCCAGGTTCGGCAGGAGCCGCCTGAAGGCAGCCCCGGTCCGTTCCAGTTTGGGAGCCAAACGTCGGAAGTGCTCAACGAAGTTCCATCGGCTGTCGAGGACGAGTCCTAGGTACTACAGCGTCGACTCGACGCCGATGGATACCCCTCCTACCATCACTGAGGATCCCGGTGGTGGCCTGTTCCGAGGACCATGGAAGTGCATGGCCTCGGACTTGTGCAGAGCCACCTCGAGACCCAGTTGCCGAATCCTCTCAACGACTATCGCAACCCCGCGTGTCATATTTTCCGCCGCCGCCTCGTACGACCCCCCCTTGTGCCAGTACCAGCGTGTCGTCAGCGTAGCAAACTACGCTGACGCCGGTAGGGAGGTCGGCGCGCAGCACCCAGTCGTAACCGATATTCCACAGAGGTGGCCCCAGAACCGAACCCTGTGGGACACCGCACGACATCTCTCGCCGGTTCCACTCACCGTTACGACCGGGGTAGATGACGGCCCTGTCCGTCAGGTAGTCCCCGACTATACGACGGAGATAGGTCGGCACCCGGTGATACCGGAGTGCCTCCCTAATGCAGCTCCAGGGCATGGAGTTGAAGGCGTTGGCGATGTCGAGAGACACCGCCAAGACAACCCCCCCTCTGGCCACTGCATCCCCCGTCGTGAGGGCTCTCACGCGCATGATGGCGTCCACCGTAGAGCGCCTCTTGCGGAAACCAAACTGGTGTTCCGCAAGATCCGGCCCCGTCCCCGCAAGGTGCTCGGCGAGGCGGTTTGCAATGACTCTTTCAAAGAGCTTGCCCACCTCGTCGAGCAGCACCACGGGCCGGTATGCGGACGGAGAGTCCGCAGGGCGCCGCGTTGTCAACCCTGAGGACTAAGACGCAATGCCTCGGTTCCAGTAAAATAGGGTCTCCGGATCTCTACACTCTCGATACGAAACACAGCAGAATTAGGCGTGGCTCTATTTGAATGTAAGATAACGATAAACTATTTAATTTATAAATTTTTCGTTTTTATACAAAAGAAATCTTTAAGTTTTTCGGAGAAAATATAGCCTGATACATCCTGGCACTACTTTTTATCTGTTCATAAAGTTTCATCGCCATTGGTTCGGCAATTACGAAGATTAACTCGGACAGACGGACAGACTAACAAAAATATTAATAATGATTTCTTATCGACTTATTAGCGTGCCTATTTATATATATATATATAGCGAGGTAAATGGAAGACGTGCCAACGATTTCTCCTAATATGTAGTACGTGGTGCACCCGACTAACGTTTTTACGTCCCACTGACGACGCAAAAGCCATGTAAAATCTGCTGAACACGCATCCTTTAGGCTGGTGATAAGAAGCGGCGATACTAGTAGGAGAGAGATGCGACTCTCTGTTCATCGCGTGGCCAAAAATATGTTGTCGATGCTATTATTAGTGCTTTAATAACACCTGAGCTTAATAGAAGTTAGTTATTTTAACATTACAGATAGATACATTTTAAAACGTTATACGTGTAGAGACATGCTGCCAGTATATTACTACTATAGTTGTAGCACAAATGGGTCGGCTCGACCGGGGAAGGACCACGCTCTCACGGAATACCAGCGTAAAATAGCAGCTTAACGCTGCTGTGCTTCGTATGGTGAGTTTAGAGAACCGGAGACCCTTTTTACTGGAAACGAGGCATTCCTTCTCAGTCCTCACGGGTGACAACGCTAGTTTAGCGCCATAAGCTGTTTACGTAGTAAACATTATTTAATCTGTGACGCTACGTTATAGTCTGCCTTTCTCCTCCATTCGTTTACGGTTCTATGCATATTGATATCTGATATCTGCATATTGATTGGTAATCGAGGATACATGTAGATGTTATGAGCCACAGCAACCACTTATCATCAGGTGGACTATGTGCTTTTGTCACCCTTATCCTATAAAAAAAAACAATTCAATTTTATTTCTATGTATAGATTACATGCACACGCAATGCATCATTATCACGAGTAGACCTAAATAAGGCATTTTTTTGTTTTAAATAAAACGAATAAAATATTTTTATTTGTGTCTGCTAATTTATGAATCACATTGCCTTAAATAGTGCGAGTACAAGTGAAGATAGGTACATATTTATTTTTACTGTTACTGTCCCCAATGTGCTTTTTGGTTACTTAGCTTTACTAATTTTGACTCTTCTTATTTTGTCTTGCGGGGCAATAACCCATAATGAGCGCATTTGTAACGTGAGTATGAAAAGTCGTT